GAGCAAAGGTCACATTGAGAGTAACAACATCGTCTCACGATTTGAACCGCTAGTCGGAAACTTGATTAGACGAAATACGTCACGTCGAGGATCGCTGTGAAACAGCTGCAATTTCGCGAATGTATTCACGATATCGTTATTGCAGGCGAGATGAGCGCCGCATTCGGGTGAGATAACGCGTACGCATTTGCATCGTCGAGAAAACAGGGGGCCTGTGTACGTAATGTCCAAATTTATGCGTGAGCATTTGTCTCCGGCGCTCGATCGAACGCACCCAGCCAGAACCTGACCCGAGAGTTTCTATTTGAGGTTGCATCGAAGGCGCGCAAACGTCGCAAATGTTGTTTTATCGGTGACAGGAAGGTAAATGAAAACGTGTGCGCGTTGTGATCGTCATCAGCATCGTCGTTTCCAACAGTAGTCGGCAATAATGTGACCGTTCGCGACCGAAGGGAGCGGACGTCGCCAAGAGAAAGAGTAGCATCCAGGGTGGCTGGAGTAAGATGATGCCCGGCTCCAGCGTTAGTGTTCCAAATGATCAGAATCGTCTGCTCGGTCGGGCCAAGCTTTATGGCCAAGCTCACGATCGTTAGATTCCGCGTACGTGCGGTAGTCCGTGTGCCTACAAGTTTGCTCTCGGAATCTATTATCCCGCGGTACTGCACACATCGTAAACGCCGCGCGAGCAGCCTCCGGCTGCGGAACGAAGCTTCTCTTCGTTAATAATTTGGAACTCGAGAGAAACGGGCGAAAAGAAAAAAAAAAATAAGAAACAAACCACCGATCGTTCCAGCCACCGTGGAAGTGTTTTCGGTTTCACTTTCTTTTTTTTTGTTCTACCGTTTTTTTTGCCGTTCTACCGAGTATCGTTCTTTCGGGCTCCGTAGATCGTCGCTTCGCTTGCGAACAGAAAAGACATCGGGCGAAGGTCATCCGAGACTATACACCGAGAGGGGTATTCGAGTAGCAGAGTGCGAGAACGTATCGTGATGGAAGTGCTCGCAGAGAAAACGTACGAGCGCCGAAGTTGGCTTCAAAACCGAGCCGCGTTGCGCAAATCATCCTCGTCTCGCCGAAGATGTATCTGTGCCCGACTGGGTGCGCCGCACCGTCGCAAGTCCAAAATTTACGAGCGGGTCACCTCTCTCGGCGACTCTCCTCTGATATATATTATGTGGCGTGCGACGCGGATGTACCGCCGCGCACGTAAATATGTAGTTTATGCGGCACGTGTAAACGCGAAACTGCGTTGCACCTTACGCGAGGGATATAATTAAAACAAAGCGTGGTACCGGCGAGAGACTGCCGGGCTCGATTAAATGACGTAGCGTGTGAACGGCTAATTAAAAGCCGCCGCCGATCGGTAAAAATTGAATTGATAACTCGCGTGCGCCGCAGCGCGCACACGTGTGACGTAATCGTCGTGACGGCCGGAGTTCGATCGCTTCGTCGATCCGTGAACTTTGTATTCCGTTCGCCGTTCGATGCACGCATTAATTCAGCTATTAATTTGCAATGATTGAATCCGAGCTATCGGCCGAATCTTCATGAGTGTATTGCCCGGCTCGAGTAGCTTCCACGTAGCGTACGCGGCTGGTGCTTCATTAAAATATTAATGGAAAATAGGTCGCGAGTCTCTCGTTCACGACTGTGCACGCGTATCGCGTAAGGGGCTACGCGTCGCGCGTTTTTGATCTTCGCTTGATAATTAGCGTCAAGTCCATTAAGAATGTGTATATACATGTACAACGACAACCTATTTCTTTTCATTAGAACTTTACTATAGCAAGTTCGTGATAAAATGCGACGACGAGTTCGCGAAATGTCCGCGGGACACACGTGCGACACTTTGGAAAGTTTTTATCACACTCGCGCGTCGATTAAACGCGGGAGGGGAGGAAATCGCGGTAGGGATACGTTAAGTGATTACAAATATGTGGACATACTACCTCATTTGACAAATGCAGGACTTACGATCGATAAGGTCTCTCCGTCGGGGACAGGTACATATCTTTACGTTGCGTTTCTGCCTTCTGACAGATCGTAACTTTTTTTTCTTTTTTTCATTAGACGATATGCGTCGCATAGAGGTCGAACGAGAGAATTATGCAAACGTCTGTATAATGCAAATATATTATATCGATAATGTATATCTTTTTTTTACGATATACAGTTAATGTGCGTGCGTGCATGTGTCCATTTGTTTGGTCGTTGGATATTACTATCGCGTCAAAATATACATAAATCCAGATCGCTTTCTCAGTAAGGATGAGGATTTGAGAAAAGCGTCGTTTTTTGATTGATCAGAAAATCCAACGACGTCATGATATGTGTTGCAATTGTACTCCAACTGCGAAAACGACGAATATTAATTTTCCCAGATTTTTCTTTCGATTCAATTTCTTCTCGTTCTCTTTATGCGCAATCGCATATGCGCCTCTTGTTTCCGTTACTTCTTCCGGCAGGATCACGAGAGGAACGTTAGTGCGAGAATAACGAA